ATTAATAATTTTATATATAAAATTTCTTTTTTTATTATGATATTATAATAATATCATAAAAAATAGAATTGTTTTTGAAAATAAATTAAAAAATTGTGTATGTTATATATAAAAAAAAGTATAAAGCTTCATTGATCTCTTGTACTCAATACTAAATGAGATTTTGAACTTTAATTGGATTTAATTTATCTTTGGCTTCAATTTTTTCTATGCAATATATTTCTTAACTTAACTCGCTATGATTAAACTGATATTGGAGTTATTTTTTATTTTATATTTTTCATTATGTTTTATAGATTTACATCTGAAGAAGTAACAAAGAAAGTAGAATCATATAGATCGATGTTAATGGGAACTGACACTAAACCAGCAATATCTAGAGATGAATTTGGCCGTGTAAAGTAAGTATATTTCTTTTATTTATTTTTTCTTTTTTTAATTTTTAATTCTGTATAATATATATATATATATATTGTGTCATATTAAAAATTTAGTAAAATAAATAAATAAAATGAACAAATTGCATTTTTTAAGCAATTTTATAATATGAAATTGCATGCAACTTCATAGTTATTTAAACAATTATATATATTAATAATATTAGACTTTATCTAATTCAAAATATTCAAATTATAAATATTTTAAGAAAATTTTATTTAAAAAAATTTACAAAAAGAAAGTTCTAATTTATTTTAATTTTTTTCTCCTTATTTAGCATAATGAAGAAATTACAATTAAAATTATTAATATTTAATCCAAACTCATTCATTTATATCTTAAAACGCGTGTATTCAAAAATTCTTAGATTTGGCTTATGAAAGATTTCGAAGTTTGAATCTAATATAGTGAATCGAGTGTGTATAAACGCAATGTTGGAACAGAAGCAATTTCTAATCGGTAGCTCAGATTCCCGCTAAACCCAATATTATTGGAGGGTGGAGACATTACGTTCTCTCTCTTCAGTCAGCTTTCAGAGGTGTTACGCGGCCGATATCGACGTATCTCATAGCGCCGGCGCCACCCACGAAAAGAGGGAGACACAGAGGTATACAGAAAGAGAAACAGAGATATGTAAAGGGTCGAGCAGGGAGAGGGAGAATTCTATTCCAGCATCTCTCATACTCTACTCTTTCCACCTCAGTGCGAGGATGGACCGGCGTTGCGACGCTACGTGGCGTCGACTTTCGTCGAGTATACGAATCGTCGGCCAATAATCAAAAGAAAAAAAAAAAAAAAAAAAAAAAAAAACAAAAAAAAACAAAAAAGAGACCAAGTAGGAGGGAACATGTAACAGTTTCGTGATATACTTGCAAGCAAATCACAAAAGTCTTCCATTAGCGTAGATGATTGTATATATATATACACATATATGTATATATATATATATACACATATATATTATATTATATTATATTCTAAATAATAATAAGTGATAAATCATCGTGTTAAGTGTAATATAAAGTATATAGATTGAGTTTGAAAGAAGAAGGGAAATCTTTTGTGTTCGTCTAACAATTGAATTGAATCTCCGTACTGATTAATATTCACGCACATGTTCCATAAAAATACGCACATCTTTAAATTTTGTCAATCAAAAAAACAATATAGAAGATCAAATATAAAAAAAAATGATTTCGACTTGAAGATTTACAAGAATATAATCTACATATATCTCAAGTGATTGGAAAAGAGAAGTCGGAAAATTTATACAGAATCTAAAATTTTTTATAAAAAAATCCATGTGTCTCCAAGTCGATAAATCGACGATAATTAAATAAGATGTCTTGCTTTGAACTTGATACACTCAGTGTACGAGTCGAAGTGTAGCAACTATAGTGTGCCTGATACGAAGTCTTCCTTAATATATAAGCTAAAATAAAATTATAATATATTCCTATATTCTTACACAAGCCATTAAAATATATGTCTATACAACAATATATATATATATATATATATATACATCACTATATAAAACTTACTAAAAATAAAAGAGATTAATAGAAAAAGACTTATCGAATAATTTCAAATAAAAAGAAATAAAAAAATTATATTGTTTTAAAAAGAAATTCGTTTTAATGTTAATTACTATCGATAGAAACAATTGATAGAGCGACAAAATATTTTTTTCGTGAACAAAAAAAAATAGGAAGAAAGAGAATAAAAGAAGAAAGAAAAGCTAAGATGAAGAGTAACATTTTTATCATCGCCGCCGGATGATTATTCTTGGTAAGATAGCAGAGCATTTGAATACGATGCTGGTATAATCAGGGAAGGAAGCCATTATCTTTGCCTTCAATCCTCATCCCCCTTCCAACCGCCTAAACTATTAAAGCCTGCCCTAAGAAGAATAAAGCTGCATCTGAATTATTCGTGCGACCGACAAAGCTCCTTAGCAGTTTAAATTAAGGACCGATCGTGCTTAACGCTCATTTAATTATCCAATCATTAATTATTCAAGTCTATAGTTTGATCTTCAGGTTTGCCAGAAAATTACTACTACTAAACGAGATGAAACAATTTGTTAATAATAATATTGGAATATATGGCACGTAATATATTATTATGGACTTTATGACAGATATATTAAGATATATAATTTGGAGACATTTATATAAAGGATATAAAGAAAACTAAAAAAAAAGAAAAGGATTATCAAGGATTATTTCTATGAAGGGATCAACAAACATTATGCTTATAAATAGAGAAGAGAATTTAATTTTACAGAGAAATTAAATTTTCATTCCATATTATTAATTTAAAAAGAAGAAAAGAATTCTGGCATCGTGGATTTTAGATTCAAGGAATGATTATGTCTGTGACGGTAACTCCTTTGAAACCAGCTCGAGGACGAGGTCCGGCTGATGGCCGTGCATTTTTTGAAACGTTATGGAGAGGAAATTTTTTTCTGGATAGACAAAAAGTAATGAAACGATCGCGAAAACGAAAATTGCAAGCAGCAAATGGAAAGAAACGTACACAACTGCAGATGCGACAGCATTGTTGCTGTTGTCAGCGCATACAACTCCACCTCCTCGCCGGACGGCGAAGCAACATGCGCTCCGTCGTCAGGTGAATTTATCACAAACAATTTTTAACTTCTTTCTTTTGCATAATGAATATATAATTTTTAATGTGTATTTTTAATCTTATCTTATTTTTTATTCGGAAGAATCATTTTAACATAATATTTTTTTATTCTTATACTATTGTTATTAAATTTTGAAATAATTTTAAATTAAATTAAATTAATTGAAATTAATGAATTATTCCATGTAAAATATTTTTATTTCTAAGTTAGATTTTC